TGCCAGCACAAAGCTCTTCCTGCTGTGTGTGCTGCTTGTGACAGGTGTTATCACACTGCTGCAAGCCTCTTATTTTTTTTAACTACTCATCAAACTGGGCCTCATTTGCAGTTAATTGATTGTATGTTTGGTGCTCTGAGCAATAACTGTTGCCCAGGAATATTCTTCTTTAAAAAAACCCCAGCCTTTAACAAAACTTGACCTGTGTGTTACGGGTTTAAAAAGAATTTGGTTTTGCCCATAACTGTACCTGTGCTTTGTGAAGGTTGAGGTTGTTTCTAAGTGTGATTCTGAGCATTTTGCAGAACTGAGGTAGTTGGACAACTTGAAACCCTCCCCAAAGGTGTGTCTGGCAGTTCAAGGGACACTGTTAGGCTGAGGGCAGCAAACTCAGGAGGCTCAGTCATTCTTCCCTGCAGGTGGGCAGTGCTAGGAGGATGTTGGGGTTCCTCCCAGGATGTTGTCACCTGTGCTCTGTTCCATTGTTTCTTCTCTTGGCACCTGGCAAAACCGAAGGGCTTTCCACATGGAGTGGCACTGTCCCTCCTCCTTGGAAAGTTATTTGTTTCTTCATCCACAGAGACTATCTAACTTGAACTTGCCTGGCAGGCTGCTGTCCTCAGGAGCTTGCATCCAGGCTGGAGGCAGAGAAATAGAGCTTCTCTGAGGGCTGGAATTTAGGAAGAAATTCTTGGCTGTGATGGTGCTGAGGCACTGGCACAGGTTGCCCAGAGAAGCTGTGGCTGCTCCATCCCTGGAAGTGTTCCAGGCCAGGCTGGATGGGGCTTGGAGCAACCTGGGCTAGTGGAAGGTGTCTCTGCCCATGGCAGGGGGTGGAACAAGATGAGCTTTAAGGTACTTCCAACCCAAGGCATTCCATGATTCTATGAACTGCTGGAGCTGCTATTGTTCAGCAGCTGCAGCATCACTCTCCTGGTGCTCTCCGATATTCCCATGTTAGGAAGACAATCCAAATGTAATTTGAAGCTTGCCCTATAGCTACCACAGGCATTTATATCCATCCTGCTGCTGCAGCTCTGTTAACAATGGGTTCCTTATTTAGAACTTTGGCGACACCAAAATTTGACCCTGGTGAGTTTTAAGTGATTCCTGTCTTGCTGAGCCGAGTAGTTGAGTTCTGTCACAATTCCCCATCCAGGCACTTACTTGGCACCAGGAATGAGACACTAAAATTTCTCAAGTATAGAATGCCTCAAGCTGCAATGGAATAAATATTTGGGTATAAGGTCCAGAACTATTCCTACAGAACAGCTGTACTACTTGTTAATTTATCCTTCTTCTTTTGGGATGGGGAGACAGTTCTTGGAAAATAATTTGATTGGATACTAACAACTGCTTTTTGGGTTCTGGTCTGTCTAGTAAGGAGCCTGCAGGGCTTGTGAGCACATGGCAGCATTTTATGGCTGGAACTAGGTGCTGTCTGACACTGGTTATTTAGTTCTCTTTCCAGTAAAGTGGAGTTTAGCCAAAATCCCCACACTTGGGAACCAGTGGGTGCAGCACTCTGCATTTGTGTTTGTCATGGCTAGAGGGTGGGTGACAACTCCAAAAGGCAAACTCCATTCCATGCCCTGCAGTGTTTGAGCAAATCCAGTTGCTTTGAGTGGATTTGTTGGTGTGCAGCTGCTGCGTTCAATGGAAAAGCTGTGTCAGGAGAGATTGTCCTCACTCCTACCCACCATGCCAGCAAGGGCTGGAGCCTCCTCAAGCCCACGGAGCACATCTCATTCTATGTCATCTGAAATGAAACCACTTCAGCTTTTCTTGCTTCAGGGGCAACTAGATCTTGTGTGGAAATAACACATGATAACCCAATTCCTGTACACAGAAATGGACTTGCTGCCTGCCTTACTGCCCCTTCCTGCGTCCTGTTGTTTGAGCAGCTCATTCTTCAGTCTTTGTTGTTTTCAGGTTGTCTGGTTTGCCCTTTGCAGCCTCAGCACTGTGATGCAGATTTATTCTGGTTTTAGAGGGCTAATAGGAGAATCAGCAGTCAATGGGGCAGACTTTATCAGGGGTGAAGCCTTTGTGCACTTCAGTTCCCACTGATTTTTGTTTTCTCAACATGTTTTAAATTTTACTTGTTTTGGCTCAGGAGGATTGTGCTTTTCTTGGCTTTATTGTGATAAAGCCCCAGAGCCTGGCAAGCCAGAAGATCCCGGAGGAGGTGGACAGTGCTGCCTCTGGCCAGTCTGTTGGATTCCTGCTCTCTGTCAGGTGGCTGTTTGTGGTATGGCTCTACTTGTGTAATGATGGAGAAAGGAAAAAGGAATGTTCAGAGTGAAGAACAGGCAAGGGGAAAAGAGGCTGATGGGTTAGTGCCACCTGTCCTGGTGCTCAGCCTGGAGAAATCTCATGTAATGTAGTTACTGAATTCCTGGAGTTAGAATTCCAGTTCCCATGGCTCTTGTACAGGCAGAGAAGGAACAGGCTCACCCGTGTTTTCCCAGAGATGGCACAGAGGTCCTGGGCTGACAAGGCCACTGTGCTGTTCCTAAGCCTCTGGGAAGTTCTTGGTTGAATTTGGACTCTGCTTCTGTGTTTTGCAGCCCCATCTGCATGTTCCTGGGTGTTGCAAAACTCTGCAAGTGCTCCTTGGGAGGAAATACTAATTTTATCTGGAGGGCTGTGTTCGCACCGGGGCAGCTTCCAGCCTGAAAATGCCTTTCAGCAATAGCTTTTCCATGAAGTCATTATGCCTTAGCAAGTGGTTTCACATAGTCATGGGTGGTGGTGTGCAGAGTTACCTTAAGTCTCTGCATGTCTTCTGTAATGAAACTGGAATTTTTGGTTTGGAAGGAGCTGCACTTGGAACAGCTGTCACCAAGGAAAGGAATCCTTGGCAGAGACCAGGACCAGCTGTGGCCTTAGTGTCAGTGCAACACCTGCTTGAGTAGGTCTTGTAAGAAACTCCTGAATGTTAGCTGATGCATTTAATTATATTACAGATGTAGTGCACTGGGAAAAAAATGATATGTAGGTGCTGTCCTTCCATTTTTTTTCTCTAAATGCCTTCCAATTCACTACAGAACATCAGAGCTCTCCACGTCTGTGCTGAAAGAGTTAATGGTAGTTTTCCAAACAATGTGTGACAAACTGATGGCCCTAAAGAAGCCTCTGGCATACATGGAGTTCAGGTGGATTTTTATTTTTCTTTCTCCCCGTGAACACGCCAAGGGGGAAATGCACTGCAGGGAACTCAATAACTACCTTGTAAGTTGACTTTTCCTTGTAGGTTCTATAAATTCCAGCCAGACTTTTAATGAAACTGCTTATTACTCTGCTTGGAGGGAGGGTGGTGCCCCTGGGGTCCTGCTGGTTGGTGTTTGCTGCTGTTTCAAACTCAGCTACTTCTGGCACCAGTGTGTAATTGAACAATATTGTTGATTACAGCTGGGCACTGCTCAATCCCCCTTGCAGCAGGAGTGGAGCTGCACACTAAGGGAAATGTTTGGTAACAGCAGGTTGTGAATGTGTATTTTTTCTCCCATATTTTCCAGTGCATGCACAGAAGTACCTCTGTCCTAATGGAGCAGAAAGTGCCTGTTCCATTCTCTGCCTCAGCAGTGGCTCCTCTCAATAGCAGGAGGATCTAAGTGCTGTTGGGATGAGGCTGTTTTGTCTGCTGTGATTAGGCCAAATATGTGTGTGATTTGTTCTCCTGCTAAGGGAATCTGCTAGGTATTTTTATCCCTGTGAGGCCACGTGCTCAGTTTTGCTCTGGTTAGGCACAAGTATGTCAGAAATAGTCATTTGTGCTTAGAAAGGATTTTACCTTGTTCTAATGGAGATGTTTCTCTGAGCAGGTAAACAGCATAATCCTATTTCTTAACAGTCTGAACATGAATGTAGCTGCAGCTAAGGGGATGTGTGTGAAGAGGGTCGAGGGAAGGTGGAAACTGATGTGATTTCAGGTAGTTAAAAGCTGCTGCTCTGGTTCAAGTCCCGTGAATCCCCTGTCAGAACGGAATGTGCTCCCAGCTGAAGTGAGCAGCTCTTTCTTCACTCTAAAGCCTGCTTGGGTTATAAATGTCTTCCTTTCTTGCTCTGCTGCATCCTGCTGCAGGGGAGGGAGTGCTCAGTTCTGTAACAGAGTGTTCTGCTGCCTTCTCCACCTCCCCTCTCAGCAGTGTTTCTTGGATTTGGTATGGATTTACTAGGTTGAGTTTACTATGGAGGAGTAAATAGCAAACTGCAACAGTGGCATGGAGGTAGTTTTGGTGGAGGGGCAGGCACTGATCTCTCTGGCAACCAGTGACAGACCCTGAAGGAACAGTGTGGAGCTATGTCATGGAAGGTTTGGGTTAGATATTAGAAAAAAGGTTCTTCCCCCAGAGGGTTTGGGCACTGGAACAGCTCCCCAGCACAGTGGTCATGGCCCCAAGCCTGACAGAGCTCAAGGAGTGTTTGGACAATGCTCTCAGGCACAGGGTGGGATTGTTGGGCTGTCCTGTGCAGGGACAGGAGTTGGACTGGATGGTCCTTGTGGGCCCCTTCCAGCTCAGGACATTCTGTGATTCTGTGTTCATCTGGAGATGTTTACTCTCAAAACCTCCCAGCGCAGCTTGTCCTCCTATGGATGAGCTGCTTGCCTTGTTTCCTGTGACAGCTCCTGGAGTCTGTGTGGTTTGTTCAGTGGTGTGGTCACAGAGGTGTGACACTTCCACTGTCTGGAGAAACTGCTTTGGGTGTCAGTGTGAGGACCCTCAGGGTCATTCACAATTATTAACAAGATCCTATTTTCTCAAATTGTTCTGGATCCTCCAAGTTAGGAAAAGGTAAGGAAAAATACATTGCCTTATTTTTGATGAATCAGTGTACAGCAGGTGTAATTAGCTGCGAGTTGAAAAGCTGCTGGTCGTGGGACAGAGGCAGTGCTGACCTTGAGGGACTGCCCTCACTGGGGGCACCTCTGTGCTCGCAGCCAGTGGGTAAAACCTGACCTCAACTCTAGTTTTAATTCTGTTTCCTGTTCACAGGGTCACCTTGTCCTCCACGGACTGTTACATTGTGCACGAGATCTACAACGGAGAGAACGCTCAGGACCAGTTTGAGTACGAGCTGGAGCAGGCCCTGGAGGCACAGTACAAGTACATAGTGATAGAGCCCACGCGCATCGGGGACGAGACGGCGCGTTGGATCACTGTGGGGAACTGCCTGCACAAGACGGCCGTGCTCGCGGGCACCACCTGCCTCTTCACCCCTCTGGCCCTTCCAGTAGATTATTCTCACTACATCTCCCTGCCTGCAGGTGTGCTGAGCGTGGCTTGCTGCACCCTCTATGGTATCTCTTGGCAGTTTGATCCCTGTTGCAAGTACCAAGTCGAGTATGATGCCTATAAACTCTCCCGCCTGCCCCTGCATACACTCACCTCCTCCACCCCCGTGGTGCTGGTGAGGAAGGACGACCTGCACAGAAAGAGACTGCACAACACGATAGCACTCGCTGCCCTGGTGTACTGTGTAAAGAAGATCTATGAACTCTATGCTGTATGACTTCAGCAGGGAAGAGAGAAAGCCACAAAGACAAGTGTATTAAGACTCCCACAGTAACGTTTTGTTTTTCCTCTTTGAGAAGCAGTGGAGACTGGGAAGGATTTGGTTTAATAGAGCTGTTATTTTTCAAATAACACATCACTGGTGCACCAAGGGTTTCAGTTCTTCGTTACACTTGAGATGTGGATGTGTGGTGACTTGAGAGCTGTATGTTAGGCCAGGGGAGTCCAATGCAGCAGCAGGATGTCGATGAAAGAAGCGAAAGCAATAGGGAAAGGGGGGAGAGCTCTTTTTTTTTTTTTTTTTTGGGGTTTTTTTTTTTTGGAAACATTTAAGTATATTGTTTAATTGTATTACACAGAACCAGCCAGAAGTTATCATTGACCATTAAAGGATGAGAATTTCAAATGTTTTTGCTCTCTTGTCACTATTATCATAGTTTCATTTGCTTCCAGGGGGTGGAGGCTTTGCTGTGAGAACTGCAGTGGTGATGGTTATTTCTGCCTGTTCACACACAGACCTGATCCTCCTCTTGTCCATTGGACATGGCAGCACCATCCATGTCACTTCCCAGCAGACATCTGCTCAGGGAATAGCTGTAGGGTGTTGCTTCTCCTCTTGTTTGACTAGTTGTGTTTCCTGGAAGAGCCTCATTTGTTAGTCCACGTTTATGCCTTTTTGGAATTGCTTGAACACTGAGGGTTAGGGGTAAAGGTGTCCCAGACCCCTGCTGCCCTGCCACCTCCAGCCATGACTGCTCTGCACAACGGAGATAACGCTGCAAGTTTCCAGCTACAAACATACTCTGCTCAGTTCTTGTGTGAGTTCTGCCTAATGTGGGCATATCTCCACTGAAATGTGCAGCTGAGGACTGCTGAGGTGGGATCCACCTGTCCTGCCTTTGTGCTGTGCCCTGACTGTGCAATTCCACCGCTCCTGCCTGGAACACATGCTCCTGGAGCTGTCCCTGCTGCAAGGCATCCACATGACAGCAGCTTGTAACTGTGTTATGTGAAACTTTAGAATTCAATCTTGTGCATGAATTCATCTTTGAGCTCAAAACTCTCAAAGAATCTTGTGCTTAGGATGGGAAGTATTTTACTGTTTCGTGAGATCTGCCAGATAAAAGATAGGGACTTGCTTTCTCTAATCTCCTCCTACCAGATGGGAGATGGGTGTGGCTGCAGGCCCAGCCTGGCACAGCCGCGGGTGTTGGGGTGGGAATAGCAGAGCAGAGCCCTGCAGCACACTCTGCCCTGCACAGATGTGCTCCCTGCTCCAGTGCTGGCTGCAGCCTGACCTCCACGGCTGGGGCACTGCCCTTGGCAGGGAGTCTCAGCAGGTCACACACTAAATTCAGTCCTTCATCTTCCCAAATTGCCACAGCAGCACCAAGAGCTTCTCCTCACCTCCCGTGGCTGTTCAGGTGTGGCTTGTGCTTTTCTGCTGTAGCAGCTTTTGTGTGAGCAGGACACAGCCCACTGTGTGCTGGGCAAACTGGGTTTGCTGGGAGCTTCTCAGTAGTATCTGAACAGGCTTATGGGCTGGGGGAAATAAGCCATTTCTGGGTGGCAACAACCCTTTGTACAGTGGCTGAGCTGTCTCTCTCCAAGGTTAAAAGAAGCTGAGATCCAGTGTGTCTATTTATAGCAACAATGTACAGTTGCCTTGGCAGAGAAGAGGGGAAGAAATGCAACTACTTCATCTTTCTGTGGTTAGGCCAGGCTGGGCAGGCTGCCCTTCCCTCCTGACATGTGTTTCCAAAGTCCCATCTGCTGGATGGATTGGAAGCTAAGTGGCACATCTGCCATAGCTCATATTGCTGCAGAAGCCCTGACATACCCTTGTGTTGGCCACACCAAAGGCTCATTTTCACTCCATGCAGAATAATTGTCAGAGCTGTTAATTCCTTTTCTTCACCAAACCTCTGCAGTCCTGGTGCTTTTTGGTGTTAAGCTTCCCCTTGCCTGGAATGATCACTGTGACAGGTCCCTAAATGCAGGGCTGGCATTAAAAACTCTGGAGATAAAAAAGAGCAACTTTCCTGGGGTTTCCTGCAGCAGGAGGAAAGGTGACAAGTCAGCTCAGCTGTCACAACAGGTAGGTCTGTTCTAAACACACCTGCTGCTCCATTCTGAGGTGAAGACATAGCTGGGGGGGTAGTGGCCTTGTTTCCCATTGTGATAATGTGGCTAAAATGCTTGGTGACATCCTGGCTGTGGTCACTGTGCAAGGTGACCTGGGAGGATGGGAGGGGACTTGAGGGTTGAGTATTTTGGGGCACGGTGAAATAATTTCACCACGTTTCATCCCCTGTGCTGGTGGCTTGGGACCAGTCTCCCTCCCAGAAGCCCCTCATGCTTTGCTGCCCACCCTGCCCATTGCAGAGGTGCTGTGGAGTGTGCTGCATTCCCCTCATCTTGAAGAGGGAATATACTTCCAAAGGGGAATGTGTGCACTCCCAGTAACCTCTGACTCAGGGCTGTAGTTCCAACAGTAACTACAATAACTTCCCACACACAATTTTTCCCTCAGGCCTGATGTGTTTCATCCTCAGCACGCTGGATGGGAATACAGAAATGCAAAGGTCCTTCCTGTGCAGCCACACCTGAAACACCAGAACATGGAGCAGCTGGACAAGACTGGCAGGAATACTGTATTTCACCAGGAAACTGAGGACCTGAACATGGAAAACACAAAAAGTACAGCTAGCACTAACACTCCCCTTGCTTTCCTACCTTAACAGGAAAAATGGTACATACACCTGAAAGCTTCAACTTGGAATTTCAACCCCAGGCCTGTGTGTGCCACATCTGCAGCTTCAGCCACAGGGAAGGTGGTAGAGGTTGTCCTGACAGAACAGCAGCATTATGATCATTGAACACACGCTGATCATCATCTGCGAAGGATTCTCAGAGATCATTCATAAATGAGGTGATCAAGAAAAGGCTTTTGGCAGGAGCAGGTCCTGCTGAGCCTGCACGGCACATTTGTATCATTTTTACCGTGACTAATCACCTGAGTGGATTCACACTGTCTCAGCTAGCAAGTGCTGTAAAAAGGGCTGGAGGTGAAGTATGTTGTTCTGCAGCTACTACTGGTACAGCAGCACCTTGCAGGCATGTAAGAAAAGATAAACAAAACTTTTCTGCTTTCCTCTCCTCTCCTGTTACCTGCTGTGAGGAGCTGGAGTAGGACAAAGGATTCATTTCATAGCCATGTCATTTATTTGTCATCAGATGTGCACTCACAGGCAGGACATATGAGGCAGGACACATGGAAAATGCTGGCAAGTGCATGGAGGTGGCTGCAGGGATCTGGACCTTGGTTCCACTAGTAGGGTTAGTTTTAATTACAAGTTGAAAAAAAGATTATCTCTGTCCTATCTGTGCAGCAACTCCTTTTTTCCCTAGTGGTGCTGGTAATCCCTCACATGAGGAGAAGGGCAAAAAATGGAATATGGCACTCCCTGAAGCCTTTGATATGTGAACAGGCAGGTGTCATTCCCCATTGGCTGTGATCCTAATTAGCATCCGTGATTGCTTTAAAACAGGTAAGAACTAAGGGTCTGTCTGCTATAATTGTGCACCCTACACACACACAGGTTCTCCTCTGTGTGCCAGGAGGCAGTGCCTGCATCCACAGGATCACACCTGCTCTGTGCTCCAGGCCTGCAAGTATGCTGCTGTCACCTGGGCAGTGTCCACAGGCAGCAAGTGCCTGGCTGTGCTGTTCCACCTGTTCAGTGCTTCCCTGCACTCCCTTGTGCTGGGCTTCATCCTGTGCTGTCAGTGCAGAGGTCAATGTCCCAGTACATCACTTAGGCATCATTCAGTTCCTTACATCAGTTCTTCTTTAAATGTGGCACTGGACTTTAGCTTAACATATCAGATGACTTGGCATGTTAACAAGCAGAAGCTCTGTGAAGTGTCACTTCAAGCAGCATGTTCTGGATGAGACTGGAAGGAGTGGGAAGGAGACACTGATCACGAGAGCTCCCAGCTGAGGACTATTTCACAGGGGTCATGGCATGAGGAAAGCCAAGATCTGCTTGTATGTGGACGAAACAGGTGGGTTTTATTTGTAGCAGGCCAATAAAGCTGAGCATGCCTGGAGTGAGGAGAGATGAGGTGCTGTGTTCCATCTCATGGGTGTCCTCAGCTGCAGACTGTTCCCTTCAGTTACCCTCCCTGGCAGCCTCAGCTTTCTCCTATTGTCCAAGCACTTTCCATCTCCAGGTGAGGTTTACGTGCTGTCTTCCAGCAATGTGGGGGAAACCACTTCCCACTCTCCATGCAATAGTAAACTGCAGCATTTTGAGAAAAGATTTTCCTGCAGGAGCACCTCCAGTGATGTCCCAGCCAACTGCAGGGGTTCAGCCTCTCCCTGCAGGCACTGCTCAGGTGAGCTGAGCTCTAAGAGTTCTTTGCTTTTCTCTCCTTTTTTGCTCTAGATGCCATAAGGGTGAAGAAGAGCCTGGGGAAGATGTTTCTCAGGTAGACAGCCAGGCAGGGAGTCAGGCCAGCCACAAGCACTTCCTTCTTCTTCTGTCCCACTGCACTGAGGACCACCTGAGCCACCTCAGCAGGTGTCTGTCCCTCGGCCGTGGTCTTGTCCATAACTGCCAAGGGAAAGCCAAATGAGCACCAACACCAGCAGGTAAGCCCTCACTCAGGTACCTTTCTAGGAATTCTCTAGCTGTACACAGCTGCTTGTATGGCTTTAGTCTTATCCAGTTGGATATGGGAGCTCAGGCAGGTATAACTCATGGTTGGGCCACAGAAGGCTAAATTTTGGGAGTTACCGTTCCTACCCTGCAAGCAAAGCTGGGTTTTGATCCTTCAGGGCTAACCTGTGTCCCCACCAGGGCCATATATTGCAAGAACACCTTGTAGTAACTCAGGGAGGTGGAGATGCTTTAGATAAAGGGCACCAAATCAGATCTCACCTCCGTAGCGAGATCCGTCTGCTGTGACAGCATTGACAGAGAGGTTGGTCTGAATGTACCCAGGGCTCACAACTGTCACATCAATGTCATACTGCTCCACCTCTGCTCGCAGGCAGTCAAAGAAGGCCTGGGTAGCATGCTTGGAGGCTGCATCTGAAAAACAGGAACAATGCACCAAGGAGAAGGAGCAGGGCTGAAGGAATACTCACCCCTCAAATAGATCTCTCCCTGCACTGCAGCCACTCCTCAGCAAGGACAGTGGCTGCTCTCCAGCTTCTATGTTTGGTTTTGTTTAGTGAATGGCAGCAACAGGTAGTGAGAGTGAGAGGCAGTTTAGGAAGGCAAAATGTAAACTCAAGTTGGAAGCTGGCTGGGATCCTGAGTTTACTATCACAGCCCTGCCAAAGCACTCTGGAGTGAACCTAAGCTGCCTCTCACTCCTGATAAAGGAGCCCCACAGCCTGGCTTGGGAAGTGTTTGGGCAGACAGGCTGGGGCTGCAGAGGGCAGAGCTGGCAGTCACTGCTGAGTGCTGGGGAGTTGCAGAGCAGGTTCAGGACTTGGCTGCACACAAGTCAAAACCAGATCTCCTATGCAGGCATGAGCAGAGAAGTATGGCCTAGGGCAAGACTTCCCCCTGTTAAATGGCTGAGTGACTCCTCTTGCTCAGTCACTACCTCTGTGACTGCCACCACCTCAGCACGGCTGCAGGGCTGATGTCAGCAGCACAGAGCTCAGCATAGGCTGAATGCCCTGTGAGGTCCCTGGCCAGGGCTGAGCTCCCTGCTGCCAGCCCCACACAGCTCTGGGCCCTGCACAAGTGCTCTGGGAGCTCTTCAGAACACAATCCTGGTGCTATCACACCCACATCACCTGCAGGACCCCATGGCTCAGACATTCCAGGCTCTCCTGCACTCAGCATCATGCCTGACCTCCCTTATGCCATCACTACTCTACTGCTTATTTTCAGTGATTACAGATGCTTGAGTACCAAACACTCTTAGTTCATCCATCTTCTAAAAGGCTTTTTCCAATAATCTCACCAATATTACTTCTTGTCATAACTGATTTAGTATGAAGAGCTTGCTGGGTCAAGATGACTGTTTAAGTTTTTATTTAGGCACTGGTTGTACTATGGCACTTTATAAATTATTAAAACAAAAAGTTCTTCCTTTCTTATAGATTAACCAAACAGCACGGATAAAATACCATAAATCTACAGAATTATGGCAACTCTCAAATGTTAAAATAGGAATATCAAGCTGAGTTCAAAACATATTCTCCCTCCCCATCCCTTAACAACTAAGATTTTGTATTTGAGTGCCTTCCTCTTCAGCTGTCAGTGATTTGTGACCACACTGAGGGTGATGCACAGCTCTGCCTTCCCTGCACGCTGCCAGCTCCAGGGAGAGCTAAATGTGGAAGCAGGAGCCAAGTATTTATTCAGCCTGGTGGCCCAAATATGTCTTCCCCATCTTCTGTGGAGGTACTTACATGCAGATCTGAAAGGAATGCTTATTTTGCCTTGAACGCTGCTGATGGCCACAATGTGGCCTTGTCTCCTCTTGATCATGGAAGGGAGAAGTGCTAGCAAAGGACAGAAAAGACCCATTCAGACAACAGTCCTGCCACTGCTGCTGCTGAGAATCAAAGCTTTCAGAGCATTCAGAGATGCTGAAGTGAATTACAAGGATCCTTGTTCAGCTGGGCAAGGGGCAGGCTTGGGAGGTCTCTGACTGAAGCTGCAGCCTGGCTGGGAGGTTCACCTGAGAGGAGACTGGTGTGCTAGTGAGGCTGCACAGAGTCCGTGATCTCCCACAGGTGTGGGCAGCAGGACTTGCTCTTTCTGCTGCCAGAACTTCCTTCCATCTCCAGCAGCTGACACCCTCCAGGCTGAATGTCCTGTGTAACCCTACAGCTTCCTAGGAAAGCTGCAGCTTCACCTGGAACCCATACTGAGTTCTCTAGTGCTCTGTCAGGACAGACAGGCTAACAGGATCTCTCCCAAGTTCCTGCCAGACTAGAATCAGGAGATGGAACAAGGAATCATCTCTAATCAGGTACTTCCCACACAGTCATGCCTAAGCACCTCCTTAGGCTTGTCCATAACCCAAAACCTTCCTCCCCTCTTTATGCTGCACTGTACCAGGTACAGTTACAAACACAAGTGCTTAGCTGTGTTGATCTGCAGAGGCATCAGCCACATCCACCATCCCCCTGTGATCCAGATCACTGGTACCTTTGGTGAGGGCTACAGGTCCAAAATAATTTGTTTCCATCAGTTTCTTGTCCACATCCAGTCCCGTGTCCACAATTGTGCCTCGGAAGCTGATGCCTGCATTGTTGATCAGGATGTCCACATGGCCCAAGTACTTGAGGATCTCTTCAGCAGCACTTACCACGGATTTGGTGTCCGAGAGGTCAAACACCACAGTGTGAGGTTTGTGTGCCTGTGAATAAACAGAAGTTAGCAAAATACCAGCTCAGGCTGTGCTGGATGTTCATGCTCCTGATGGGATTCCCCAGCTCTGGAAGCACAGGAGCAGGGCCATCCAGACCTTGTGCAATTACAGTGCAGCAGATCCACATGGCAGGAGTACATGGCAGAAGCAGGTTGTGCTCTTGTCTTTCTCTGCTCCTGTAGCCTGTTCCTTATATCCAAACTTAGGAAAGGGGCAAGGGAGATCTTCCTCAAGTACTAAAGTTTCCTGTTGTCTTATTTAAGCAAATGCATCTGAAAAAGTCAAAACTTAACCCGTGTATCATGTACAGAGGCAACACCTTCCTTAGCCCCTGTCCACAGAACTAGACACCAAAAATAAACGCCAACAGAAGGAAAATCCCTTTTCCAGATTCAGTGTATTAACATACAGGTGCAAGGAGTCAGGGCACTCTGCCCTCATGTGCTTTCACTTCCATTCCTAGCCAAGGAGTGCTTCAAATGGCTTATTTTTGTAGGGTTTTCACAAGAAATGACATGCCAGCTCAATGTTCTCCTAATGAACATCTATCTCTAACCACAGAGTTGCATTTTTCCTATTACTCAACAGCACAACCCACAAACAGTTCTGTAACTTGTGCCCCAAGACGAGCAGAAATCCCAACCACACAGGACACCAGGCCTGTCCTCCCCACACACTCACGTTCTTCCGGTGGTTGGTCATGGCAGAGAGCTCCTGCATCAGGTCTTTGAGCTTCTCACTGTCCCTGCCACAGAGTACCAGCTTGGAGCCAGCTGCATGGAAAGCCTTTGCACATTCTTTGGAGGAAGCAAGGAAGAGAGACAAGTAGGCATTTGAGTAAGAAACAGCAGATCCACAGCACACCTGGTGATGGCTAAAACTCCCTTTAGCTGGAGGGGTCTGGGGTGCTTTATTGCTCCTGAGTGATGTGCTGACTTAGAGCGAGGTCACAGCCATGTGCCATCCTCCTGTGACTGTGACAGACACATGATAGCAGTGAGGCAGCTGTTGTGCTCACAGTTACTGTGCTGGTTATGCAGTTATCATGATGTTTACACATCCTCCCCCATCAGCAGGTTGAATTTGCCTCTTCATTTCTGACTTTATGATCTTCTTAAGAGGGACCACAGTCACCTTGTGTGTGTCATCTAATGCAGCAGGGCCTGGGCTTAGGAGGTTCAGTGTTAATGAACACTCCAAAGGTTCTGGAAGCCTTGGAGCTAATGGCTTCATCAAGGTGATGTCAGGCTATTGTCCTCTCAGTGCCATCAGCTGCTGGGGTCAGAGCATGTTCCTGTCCCCTCTGTGAGCCACTCAGACAAACTGCTTGTTTGTACAAGAGATGACAGTGGATGGCAACAAAGGGTGTTAAAAGCACACAGTAATTAGATGTGGTCTGGTGGATTAATAACTGGGAGTGAGGGGAAGAATGTAAGAACTCAACAGTCAATAGGGAGGAAACTTCACCACACAGTGGTGGAAGTCTCTGTACCCAACAGCCCATGGTGCTTCAGCTGCCCAGCTGGAAGTCTCTCCTGAGGTACTAGTTCCCTCTCTTCTTGATAGGAAATACAAATTCTTTCACCACTCTTTGGCTGTGCCAGGCAGAGAGGACTAGTCCATCTCCTTTGGCCAGGCAGTTACTGAGCACCTCCGACCTTAAGGACAAACTCACATGCAAAGACAGTGTCAGTTTAAGCTCTATTTGTTCTGTGAATGTCCTCATCCTAGTGAAAGGCCTTGATAGCAGAGAGCACCTTGTCTTCTCTTCAAACAGCTTTTAAAGGCATTATAGAAAGCAAAATTAGAGAATGGATCCACTAAAGCAAAACATAAATTTCATTTGGAAAAAAAAGTACTCCCTGGTGTTACTATTGCCAAGAGTCTGAATTTAGAATGGATGGATTTGTATCACGAGAGAAAAGGTACTTTGAGGGTGAGGGGCAGGGAGAAGTGGAAGATTTGAAGGGTAGCTGGAAGTACAACAAACCTGAATGTCAACACCAGTGCTGGGAAGTTCTAGAGAAGCAGTTTGGCTTCCTAGCTTTTTCAGGATTTAGGGAAAAGACTCCTGACAGCACTGGAACAATGTCACTTGTTCCTTGCTTTGATGAGCTTCAGTTTATACAGGATGTGTTCAGTTCTGGGCCCCTCAGTTCAGGAGGGATATTGAGGTGCTGGAGCAGGTCCAGAGAAGAGCAACGAGGCTGGGGAAGGGACTCGAGCACAAGTGCTGTGAGGAGAGGCTGAGGGAGCTGGGGGGGTTCAGCCTGGAGAAGAGGAGGCTCAGGTGAGACCTTATCACCCTCTACAACTCCCTGACAGGAGGTTGGAGTCAGGTGGGGGTTGGTCTCTTCTCCCAGGCAACCAGCAGCAGGACAAGAGGGCACAGCCTCAAGCTCTGCCAGGGGGGGGGTTAAGTTAGTTATTAGGAAGAGATTTTTTATGGAGAGAGTGATCAGGCATTGGAATGCGCTGCCCAGGGAGGTGGTGGATTCACCATCCCTGGAGGTTTTCAAGCTGAGACTGGATGGGCCATGGTCTAGTAACCACGGTAGGGTTGGACTTGATGATCTTGGAGGTCTTTTCCAACCCGGTTGATTCGATGATTGAAAGTTTCCTTAAATGCTGAGACTTTCTGGAATGAAAATTTGTGCTGGCTACAGTTCTCACTGCTGTGGGAATGCGTGAGCCATGTCTCAAAACTCACAGCAATAGGAACTTGCTCATTCCGTCTTTATGCCCCTAGCTGCCCCTTCCCATCCCTCTGCTTGCCCTGCCCTTAGTGCCCTCCTTTCTGGACATACCTTTTCCCAGGCCAGAGGTAGCCCCTGTGATCACAACCACTGCTTCCTGGAGGTAAGTTCGCATCCGCATCCACTGCAGGAGCCGGAAGATGGCAAAGATCCCCAAACTGCCAAAAAGCAGTGGGATGATGACTGTGCTTGTGAAATCCATGAGTTTTCCTTTCTGAACAGCCTTCCTAGAGCCATAGAATGAAAAGAAACAGATCATTTCACCATGAGGAAAATTAGCAGAGGCTTAAAACCTAGAGAAGTTATTTTTCTTCCCCCTGCCTTAAACCACCAATAAACCAAGTCCCACACAGAGGTATATTCCACAGATTTTCTCATCCCTTCATTTAGACTCGGGAAAGTTCACATTAGTACTCAATTTTAAGCATTTAAATGCTAATCTGAACATCCCAGAAGGGCACTTGGCATTGGATCCTCTCAGCTGTCATGTTAACAACTCGGGTTCAGAGATGCTGTTCCCATGTTTTGCTCTAAATTCACCTTCTTGTATGAAGTGTATTTAGACTGAAAGTTCCTCAGGGCTGGGAAATGTCTCTGCATTCCTCTGAATGCAATAAAACCTCTCAGATTTCTCTGGAACAGCCAGTACCACAGTATCTACATGCCAGAGACCAGTTACTGTGTATTATCCCAGATGGATATAAGTTAGTCTGTATTCTGGAGGCTCCAGGTTTTCTCTCTGTGCAAGTTATTTTCTTAACGCACTGAAATCTCATCCTGGAATTCTGATACCAAGGCACAGCCCTAACCTCCTTGCTAAGCCATTCCTTCAAGGGAGTAGTTTGTGTTACAGCTTACTCTATGGCCAAAGAGCAAGTGATACTTCTGCTGTGCCATGGATTTCCCCCGTGTGTACCCCTGAGCTGCAATTAAAGCTGGATGTCAGAGTAGAGCCAGTTACAAGCCCTTCATGGATCTTGTGGGTCACACAGAAGGTCAAAACCAATTATCAGTGTATATTCCCTTCCCTCCTTGTGCAGATAGAGTATGAACTCTTTCAGTTTGAACTGCAGGACAGGTCTTTACTGGGAGGATAGTGGAAAGTTCTGGGCGCACAACTTTTGCTGCTTCAAACAAAAGCAACAGCATGAGCAGAAAATGAGGTAACTAAGCCAGAATTCAGCGTTGCTGAGTAGGACTGAGCTTGTACGGAGCTGAGGGGATGGCAGAGGCTCTACGTGCCATGGAACAGAGCTAATGTGGAAAATAGCAGGTTCTTCCAGACGTCCATCAGGGGTTTGGGCAGAATTCCTCAAGTAGCTGTCAGTGAACAGACTAACTTGCTGCAATAGTAGTGAACTGAATAAAATAAGTATTTCTGGAGATACAGCTAGAACACAATGAAATAGCACATGAAGACAGCTCTAAATAAACCTGACAAGGTCTAAAAATAAAACCATGGAGTTAGTACACAACTCTTCTTGAGATCCTGCAGAGCCTCCCATTCCTGAGCTAACTCATGTACCTAGGAGGCACTTCCCTGTGCAATCTACTGTGCAGAATACAGGCAAACACCCAGACCACAGGGAGTGTGCCCAGGTGGGAAAGGAGAAACCCAAAATGAAGATTAAGCTCAGGCCACTGCAAAGCATCTTATTCCTCCACCTCTGTGCTGAGGAAGGCACACAGTGTGTGTTTTGTACTGGTTTACAGCCAGGGACTGGTAGAGTTGATTTAACTCTATGGATGAGAGTGGATCTTCCCTAAAGTAATTCCTGGGAAAGATTTGTTCAGACACAAGGCAATGGCTTCTTTAGGCTGGATGAGAGGGTTGTCCTGATGGTTGTGTTCTGCTGGTCACTGAGTGTGTCACCCTCTGCAGGATGTCCCTTTTGTTGGTGCTCTCATTGAGACTCAGGAGAGGAGATGTGGGCAGGGACAGCAGGTGCTGTGTGACACTGAGCTTCCAGGACATTATAGAATCAAAAATCATTATTTCTCCATTATTAACCCTAACCCATTATATCTCCATGGGAGCTGACAGGGGCAGTGGCACTTCCTCATGAGCACAGGCTGAAGTGGAGGCACTGGAAAAATCAGGCCCTGATCAGCTTTGCTTCTGATTTCAGTGAAAAGGTAACTGGGAAGAGGGAACTTTCCTGACACCTTTTCTAACTAAACCACACTAGAGGATGGGAGGGAGCTCCAGTTTGATTACAGCATGGTTCTGTCACATCTTTTGGGAAAAGTAAAGGTTTATTTTGCAAGGCCTGAACTCCCTGCTATGGTGGAAAAGAACCCCCAAACCTACCAACTAAGAGCTAACCATGTTTTGGACAGGTGGCATCCACTGTTCCCCAGCACCAACCAGTTGTGCCTGGTTAATTTAATCAAAACAATGATTATTCATTTAATTTCCAGACAAATGAGCTCTGCTTTTAATTCTCTCTCATTTAAAAATATTTCCAAGTCTTTTATTGTTTGTTTTTCCTTATTTTTCCCACTTCTTCTCCATCTTCTCTCCAGGAACTGAGCAGATTATCCATCTCTGCCTGAGGACTGCAGCAAGCCAAGAACACAGTCAGCAGCAGCAAACAGCACTGGCAGCCTCCAGGCTGGAGTTTGAATCAACAGGTACCACCTCCAGGGAGGGGAAATACCGGATGGGGAAGGAAGGGAGCAAGAAAGAGAAGGACTAGCTGATCAGAGATATAGATCCCTTGTTATTAGGGCATGCAGATGTAGTGCCTTCTTCCAAGGAAGGTGCTCAAATGGCCCCTTCAAAAGAGCCCCAGAACAAAGAAAATCTCAGACTGGAGAGGACATCTCAGCTAAACTGAATTATTTTGGAAAGAAGAATTTCTGTGACACTTTAGACCTATAACAACAGGTTGTGCTTTGATTTCACAGACTTTATCACAAAGCCACGAGCCCTTGTTTTAGGTTGTGACATTGAACATGCTGAATCATTGATGGAATAAGTATCAGTGCAACAAGAGAACATGGAAATCAGCTCCAGCCACAGAGGCACTGCAGGATGTCCAACAGTATCCATCCTACGGAGCACAGTGCCAGGCTACTAACACCACAGGGGGGCAGTGCCATTTGGTCAGTTTTCACGGGGATTTGGGGGAAATCCCAAAGGAAATAATTGCTGCAACCTGAAGGAGAAGTTATATTCTGTTCAGTGTTTGGGTTATTTGCTGTAAAAACCAGCAGAAAAAAACTGCTGCAGTCTGAAGGAGGATGAGAGAAAAAATACTTGATTCACATCTCAAAAATTTTAAGTTGCAAGACAAAAGCTGAGAGAAGATCAAAAGCAGAAACCCCAACTTTAATGCTTTGAGGTAGCTAAAGACATCCCAGGGCAGATAACACCATGGCACATCAAAACATAGGTGAGGGTGGGGAACACGTGGGTTCACACCTCACTGGGGATAAACTGGAGATCTCAGAGCTCCTGCTCAAAGATCTGAGACCACACCATCACCTTTGTTCAAAAATTTGGGCATTCATGCTGAAAAAATCTGTTATTAACAGACAAGTGTTTGTGACATCAAGTTTTTGGCAGGAGAGAAGCCACTGCTCATTAACTGTTTCAAACAAAATCCTGTCATTCCCAGCTCTCCATCCCAAAAAGCAGGATTGGAACATGCAGGTTATTAGAGAGCAGAATTAAGAACACTGATAATATGAGCAAATAGAGGTGACTGGAAACCTTTTCAAGGCTTCCCATAAAATAAATCACATTTATCCAATTAAAAAAAAAACACAAAACTTTCCCCCTAACCCAAAAACTGGATGTTATCCCATAAAAGCAATGATTTCTGAAGGAACAAGGATCTTAATCAATAAGGCCAAGAGTACACTGAAGGCAGCAAAGATGAGATCAAGCCCTAAAAGAAATGAATCCTCTGAGAGCTTCTCCAAACACTTATTCTGCAGCTTCAGCCTCCCAAAATCACACTGTCCTTTACGTGACGAGTGGCAGCAGCTGGGAGGTATTCCCAAACCCAAAGGTGGGGGATAAAAGGAAGGGAAAACTGGTTTCCCTAAGGAAGCAGTGCAGCAGCTCTGTGCCTGATTAGCAGGTTTAGCCTGAAGAAAGCACAATGTCCTACCTGAGCAAAGAGTTGCAGTGAGTCTGAGGTGGTGTCTCCCTCCGGCCCTGGAGCAGGACAGCCCCAGCTTAAATTTGGAAATGGCAGTGATCCAAGCAAATGTGCCGTGTCCAGTGCCAGCTGAGCCAGGAACTGCCTCTAAAAACAAACCTCAGCAGTGTGACCTTTCAAAGAGGGGGGGGGAATTTAACCCCCAGACTGAAAAGAGAACTCAGAATAATACGAAACTCATTGACTGTTTCTAGTCCCAAACAAATGATTTGAGAGCATCCGTAAGGAGCAGAGCTGCTCTTCCCATGCTCCAGATGGGGAAAATGGGGAATGTGTGAATCAGTTGTAATTCTCTGTTACTGTAATTAATTTGGGGGCTAGACTGATGTTACAGTGAACACCTAAGTATCAAGCCAATGAGGGTGCTGAGGCACTGGCACAGGTTGCCCAGAGAAGCTGTGGCTCCCCCATCCCTGGACGTGTTCCAGGCCAGGTTGGATGGGGCTTGGAGCAACCTGGGCTAGTGGAAGGTGTCCCTGCCCATGGCAGGGGGTGGAATGAGATGACCCAAACTGTCCTGTGATTCTATAATTTAAAAATCCCCAGATTTTAACTTCTTCCCTCAGGATTCCTGAGCACTCTGAGCACAGCTGAACAGACAGAGGAGTTTCTCATCACACTCTGCATCCAAACCTGGTATTTACTGAGGAAATGGGAATTCCCTCCAGTCACTCAATCCCTGACAAGGCACACTGAACAGGGAGAAAGAAAATCCAGTGATGTTCACCTATCAGCTGAACAGTTCTACTGACCCAACTGCTTTGGAAAGAAACTGAAATCAAACTCACAGACATCTAATCCATAACAAAAAAATCCTATAGCATCAGTGATTTAACAACCAAAACAACTGACAACTTCTCTGATGTACAAGGTCCCCAAAAATGTAAGTCTGGGGATCAAAACTCCCTCAAAACTGAATGAGAACAAAGTGACGACAGGAATTCAGATACTGAATTGCTAAAATGCCACTATGCACTTCCATGCTCATGGAATCAGCTTTCATCCCAGACTTTGTAAGCAGAAAATAATGTAAAACATACACTGAAATCGTTGAAAA